TATATATATATATATATATATATATATATATATGCATGTTTATTTATTTATTTAATTTATTTGTTTATTTATATTTATTTATTTGTATTATAGGTTGTATATATTAAGGGGAAAGGGAGGGTTTGTTTCACAGCATAATTTTATCCAGCGTGTCGGGTTTTTTTACTTAAAGTTTATGTATTGATTTATTATAGTATATTTCGGTTAATAACTAACAAGACACTAGATTGTTGCGCTATTCGTACTACACATTTACCGCGTATACTGTGCAATCGTGTTCCTTGTTTTTGTCTAGCAATAGTCTTTAATAATTTACTGTGCATTGCAGAATCGAATTTTTTGCGATGGTCTGATCGGTAAGGGGGAAAGTACACAGTATGGAAACAGTCGACGAGTTCGAATATTCGAAAAAAGATTTAGTTGGCCACGGTGCTTTTGCTATAGTATACAAGGGACGGTATATCAAGGCAAGATTCCTAATAATAAAGTTGAAATGAGTGGTTGCTTGTGTTTTTTTTCTTGGTTTAGATTACAAAGTGGCGTTTGAACACAGATTATAGAGTCTCCTTTTCTGTTCGTACTTCTTTTATGCTTGAAGCTTTCTTGAATAAGTGCTAGCTAGTTTTTTGTACTTCAATTACCAAATTTTTTTGGAAGAGCGACAGCTAAGAAGTTCAGGTCTCCAGTATAGTACCTAAAACAAAGTTTTTTTTGGTTTACAATATTGTTTCGTCTCTTTTACAAATAGACCTTAAATCTTTTTAAAGTCTTCGTTTTTGTACCGTGGAAGTTTGTAATTTAATTTTTTGATTTTCAGCTAACTTGGTAGTAGAAATTTAATTTTGGTGTAGAATTTATGTTAATTTAATTTTTCACCAGTAGGCGGTTTTCGATAAAATTTCTCTGTAAAATTTTTATTCCTTCTGGACATTCGAAGTTTTGTAGTTCATGAGAAAAATTGGTTTTTCTACTGCAGTTCACCTAGAAATTATAGGATCATACCCCAGTGGCCGTGAAATGCGTAAGCCGAAAAAACATATCGAAGTCGAGGAATTTATTGCACAAAGAAATTGATATCTTGAGGGTATTTTTTTTATTAATTACACAGCACTAAGTATTAATGTCTTTCTTTTTGGAATAGTTACTGGTTTTAGGAGCTTAGCGGCTTGAGGAATGAGAACCTGGTGACTTTGATTAAGTGTGTGGAGACGGCTTCACATGTGTATTTGGTAATGGAGTATTGTAATGCCGGTGATCTTGGTGAATATCTACAAGATCGGATGTCTTTACCTGAACGTGCAATTCAGCATTTTTTAATTCATATTGCTCACGCAATCGAAGCTATATATAAAAAAGGCATTGTACATAGGTAGATATTTTGTAATACTTAATAATGTAGTGGCAGCATATTAGTGTGCTACAATTTTATGATAGTAATTGGGTTTTTTAGGGATCTTAAGCCACAGAATTTATTATTGTCTAATCCAACCGGGAAACCGTACCCAGACGCGACAGAATTAACATTGAAATTGGCGGATTTTGGGTTTGCTAGATTTCTTGATGGGGGTACCATGGCTGCTACACTTTGTGGGTCTCCGATGTATATGGCACCTGAAGTTTGTTTGATTTCTTGGCATTTTTGCGTTTCAGTGTATCACAGCTACTAAGGGGTAGTTTCATAGTCACAACTTTTAGGTAATCATGTCACAGCAGTACTGCGCAAAAGCTGATCTGTGGTCTGTTGGTACCATTATCTTCCAGTGTTTAACTGGCCATGCTCCATTTCAAGCTGCAACTCCTCCAGCACTCAAACGACTGTACGAAAGGAATAAAGAACTCAGACCAAGAATTCCTGCATATTGCAGTCCCCTTCTTAAGGACTTATTAGTCGGGCTGTTGAAGAGAAATGCCCGAGATCGAATAGATTTTGGTTTGTTGTGGTATTCTTTTGCTAGGTTGAACAGAAACGGCTGCTGCGAGATTTTGTTGTCATTTTCATACACGTTTTTTTTATTTTACGGGAATTTGTGATGGTGTATCTATTCTTGTGGACTATTTTTGAAGCCTTACTTGTTTAGGTCATAATTAGTTATTTTAACCGATTGAATGTAATTTAGAAGCTTTTTTCTCACATCCTTTCTTAACGACGCCAGTGGTTGATCCTGTTTCTAAACGGCCGAATGATTCTGTATTAACTCCGAATATTAGCTTTTCGCAGCAGCCCAGGTCCACTGCGCGACCTTTATTGGGTTCGCCTGCTTCATCGCCTGTCCGGCAGACGTTGAATAATTTTCAGAAGTCTCCTCCCAAATCATCTGCAGTTTCTCCTCGGTATTTGTTGAGAATTCTAATTTTTTACTTTACACTTTCAGTTACACTAGTGTTTCGTAGTTGTAATGAGGGCATGAGTTACGTGGAACTTTAGCTGAAGATGCTCAGAACAGTTTCAATGCAGGAAAATTAGCTTTTTCAAACTCTTTTTTTACAAGATTCTCATATGCTTTATTTTTACTTGTAATGAACATCTCTGTTATTTTCTTGCTGTCTATTAGGATTTTCAGTTTGCTCCAACAACATGCTGCCGACATACCAACTCGAGGATCGTTGGCTGATGTTGAGGGATTTACATTTCTTCCGCCTTTGGATAATGCTGCAGCTCGTATTCCGTCAGTAACTACACATATGACACAAGCTTCAGCTCATTCCTCGGGAAAATCGAGGGTTGATTTGCCCAGCTTGTCTCCTCTAAAACAAGTCAAGGTGAAATTTTTTTTGCACTTGTAATGGAAGTGTTTTGATCGTAAAGCTATTTTGGTTAAAATTTTCCTTCCAATCAATTATTTAGGTTCATATCAATGGAGGGGAGGTTGCTAACATTCATGCAGTTCCAGTCCCTAGTCAAAGAACTGCTTTTGCTAAAATGATTGAAAAACAACACAGCACCTCAACAACTCCGTCAAAAGAGGATTCTTTGGAAAAATCAAAAACTCCGAACAGAGAAAGGACCTGTTCAATCCCATCCATCGAACAGATGAATTTACCGCCCAGTAAATTTTTTTTTACCTTTTTCCTGTAAACAAACTTCTTATGCTTTATAATCTTGTTACTTCTCTGTTGGCGCGATTGTGTATGTGGTATTTTTAGTGCAATTCGTTGTTCGGAAGCCTAGTCGTTTGCCACAGCGTGATTCACAATATTATTCGAAACCTCTATCGTCGTGCACACGTTGGAATTCTAACAAAGTTACGTCAGAACCCGTCCCTGAAGTTACATTGCCAGAAGCAGATGTACGCCTTCCGTTTGCGGATGTTAATGTCGCTGTCACGAATAAAACTATTCCGAAGTCATCAACACACGATGCTCCCTTTTCTACTAAAGAAAGCGCAACTGAAAACCGCCCAGCTTTCTCAAATCCTTGCTCTTCAAACGCAGTTGAAGAGAAGTCGGTGCCCCCCGTAAAAGTAAGTTTTTCAATTTTTACTGGCAGAAATTTCATTTTGAGGACTAGAAGATCATTGTCTTTCTGAGTACTTCTTAAAAATGTCGTTTTAGCCGGAAGCCCCGCCGCCTGTTGATAATATAAAATACCTATCTATGTCACCTCCTCATTCTTCAGCGTCTTTGACAGTTCATGTAACAACGCGACAGAACCAGCAAATTTCTACAAGGTAACTTTATTTACATTTGGAGGATTTCTGTTTTATTGTTGAGAAAGAAAGAGGCTGAAGGTATCAAATGATAGTTTTGTTTCGTCATTATGTGCCTTTATGATTATGAGAAAAAGATTGTTAAGTTTTCTCAATGGATTTTCTCCATTGTCGCTTATAAAAATTGTTATAAATCCATCTTTTAGTAGCCTTAGTGACGATGATGACGAAGTTGACTTTGAGAGGCCAATCTATCTACCCTTTGCTTCATCAGCAGCTCCTCAGCAAGCAGGTTTGTACATTATACAACGTCATTTATGTATAACGGCTTTTTGATTTCGGCTTTTAGGTGATTCTTCAAATTCACAGTTAATGGAGAGCGCAGAGAGTAATAGCCAAATGAAAGCGGAGGGTACAGATGAAAATGTGCTTGAAGAGGTAGTGACGCCCCTGAATGAAGAAACTATTATGAAGGTATGTTTCACCGCATGCATTCAATTTTTTTTTTTTTTTTTTTTTGTTATTTGATTTTTTCTTCTTTCAAAGGTTTACAGTATGTTTTTCTGTACTTAATTTAAATTTGAGAAAATGAAGTGTAAATTAGTGTTGTTACCATCTTTTTGGTTGTGGTTTTCGGGTACATATCCAGATTAGGGAGCTTACTCTGAACTTACAGTTGGAAAGTCGTCTCCCGATTGTTGATGGGCTGAGCAGACTGACTGCTTATTCAGTTCTGAATATAATGTATTGCAAGTTTATCAAAAGCATCGATAATTATATTTGATTAGTTGCTTAAAAGGCCAGTCGTTTACAAAAAAAAGATTAGCGGTAAGAAAGGAGTAATGAAAGTTTTACAAAAAAATCAGCTGTTCAAGAATTTTTAATGAAGAGCGTTCATTACTGTGTGGATGGGTGTTGATTAGGTGGAATTTGTTATTTGTACGACATAAGTTCTGAGCGTAGTGTGTATTGCTGTATAAAGGCGTAACATACGTAAAGTAATATCTTAGTTTTTCTAATTACATTTTCATGATTAAGATATGAACTTTTTCCAGAACATTGTAGTGTGGATAATTATTTTTTGTAGCAATTAGTTAATTATAGACAGTTTTGGACATTATTTTTTTTACCGAAAAAGTTTATACAAGTTCGCCAATTACCAGAATAAGTAGAAGAACGTTATAATTGAGTCGAACCTGCTGCTTTTCCTCGTAATTCTGCGATATAACAACCTACCAAGAGTAAGGGATTAGTCTTCTAGCTGACCAAAGATGCACAGTCTACCAGAAGACTTACCGGCTGTGCGTCGCAAGTGGCCTTTCTAATTTTTTCAAGTACCAAATTGGATCAAATCGTTACCTTGTTTTTTTTTTACGCTGCCTTCGAGCTTTGAGAGGGTTTTGGTGAATTTAGTCACAGGAACTTCAATTACAGTCCTTTCATGTTTACAATTTAGGAAGAAAAAAATATGTTTTGAGCAGGTGACAGCATTTTTACTGTCATTAAATTTTTGCCATGTTTTGTTTTGTGCGTCTTCACCGTTAATTCGTTTCTCAGCCATGGTTGGTCTCGTTTTTTTCAGAGCTACGTTTAGTGGCCAAAAGTGAAAGAGTCAGGAGGGTGAGCTGGAATTTCTTAAGTAGACTGGCGTAGTGTTTTTGCATTGAGCAGTAGGACATGGTAATCGGCATTGTGATATGGGGTGAAATGCTCTACATTGTGTGAAATTTTTCATAACATTAATTTCGCACACCGGAGGAACTCTTGTAAATCTTTGACTTTGCTGCTAAGGACCGATAATTCGCCACTTTAAAACCGTTCGTCTCAGTTGGAACATAGATTACATTTGGTTGACAAATGGTTTTGAAGGTTTCTCAACGCTTGGTGGTTTTGAGATACTCTCAGAACTGCCGTGCGGGACTTTCTGCTTCTTGCCATTTATGACAGTAAACGTTTTTGTGCGAGGGTAGAAGAGTAACTGATACAAAACAGTCGCTGTGATTTGTTCAGCTTCGAGGAGACTATTAGTTTACTTTTACCTCGGTCAAATCTCTGTGCATAGAAGCCTATTAGATTGGTAATCTTGAAGCAGGTTATTTTGTTACCGTGCTGGACTTTGATTCTGCCAGCAATGTTAGACACTCATCGTCTGATGAGATGTCGTGCACTTTCATTTTGTTGTCGACAGAAATCTCATTTTTTTCTCAGGGTCTTGAGGATCAACTCTGCATAATTGTTTCTTCATTGTCTCACATGTATGTTTTTGACCTTAGGCTAATTATGCGGCTAATATTTTTAAACGATACTTGTGAAGCGACACTGCTTACAAATGTCTCTTTTCAATTATTTCATGTGATGCCGCTTAAGATCTAATTATCGTGTGGTTTTACGTGGCAGCTTTATAAGATGTGCACAGAGGAACATATGAATTGAGGGAGTAAATTTTTATGTGTAGAGATGAATCGTTGAAAAACCTACTTGTCAAGAAGGAAAGAGTAAAGTCAGTGACCTGGAATTTTGAGGGTAGTGTTGGTGATAATTAAATTAGTTGCTTATAAAACTGACTTTTTTTTTAGCCGGAGCATCGCCAAGTTCTTGCTAAACTTCGTTTTGTGCTTGAATTGGTGAATACATTGATTGATGTTGCCGAAGAAAAGGGAAAACTTTTTAGATTGGATCAAAAGAAGGTACTTTACTCATTCTTAGTATTGTTAGGGTTAATTCAACATTTTTTTTTAAACTTTTGTCTGCCGAAGTAATTTCTTAGTTGTTGTTGTAATAAGCAACTGAAGTAGCCTTTGGTATTGCATAGCTTTGTATAAGAGGTGCTTTATGAAGAGCTTGAGTGACACACTTTTTTAACAATGCTTTTGTTTTTTAGCTTCTTACTTTTTGCTTACAGAAAAATGAGACGTCAGGTGCATATCGACGAGCCGAACAATTGGTTGTTTATGTCAGAGCTCTACACATGTTATCATCCGCGTTGTTACTGGCACAAAGAGAAGTCTCTGCTGCAACATTGCATCCGTCTGCAGCTGTACAGCAGATTCTAAACCAACTGAATGAAAAATATCATCACTGTTTGGTGAATATTTTAGGATTGTTAAGAATTTTTTTTTGTAGATTAAATTTTACTTCTGTGAACTCATGAAGTGGAAAATGGAAAGAATTTTTCATTTGTTTAACTTAGCTTACTCATTGTTATATAGATGCGATCTCAAGAATTAGCATCTTTGGGTATTCCTAGTGCAGACCCTGCACTGGCAGTCATATCTGCGGAAAGGATCATGTACCAGCATGCAATCGAATTGTGCCAGACTGCTGCTCTTGATGAACTTTTTGGACGGGCAGAATACTGTTCACAAAGGTAAGAGAACCTTGTTAGAAGTTCAATTCAATTTTTTCGTTGCAAAAGGTGATCTTTCCTGTATTTCAGATATCAAGCAGCGTATATCATGCTTCACACTTTGTCAGAACAAGTCTCGAGCGAAAGTGACAAAATGATCCTTTCAAAGTACAAGAATGCTGTTGAGAAGAGGTTGAAAATCCTTGAGAAACAAGGATTGGTACAATCCTTCACCAATAACTAATTTTTATGGTTGTATAGCAATATATCAAAGTTAATATATAAATGAGAAACAGAGACATTTTTTTTTGCTTTCATTATCTTTTGCTTGCCCAGAACTGCTCTTTCAGTAAAGCTTAGAGCAGCCTTTTTAGTTATTGGAAGCGGAAAATGTTTGGAACAGGTGAAAGAATTTGATTAAAATTCCCGTGAGTTAAAAAACCTAAACCGATTTGTTAAGACAGTTCAAGAGGGTTATTTTTAGTAGTGGATATTGTTTAGATTGGTTGTTCAGGTTCTTTTTCTATATTTACTGTTTCATTTTTCTCCATTTATGTTTTGTCTCTGTCACTGACTTCTACGTAAGGTTTTGCAAAGTACACTTTTTGCTTTGCCTCAAGTTCTCCCGATTTCATGTTGTATTTGCCTCAGTTGTTTACTGTTCAGTAGCATTTCAGTATTTTCGCAGATATCTATCAACTATTAGTGGCGGTCATACCCAGTCTACTTTTGCTTTGCATAATTAATTTTATCGCATTCCATTTTAAGATGGGAGGACCTTTCATTTTTTCGTTTCTATTTTTGCTTCAAGCGAAGCAGCTTTACATCAGCTGTTAACGTTGTTGATTTTGTCAGGTAATTTTTTTCTGACAATTGCTTTACCATTGAAATAAGTCGGGTTGGTAGTGTTGCTTAAAACGTTATACTTGTCATTTATTTTTAAAAACAAATCGTTTTTAGTGCCACCTCCGTTCGCCTATAAAATTCTATTAAATGGCGATTTATAGTGGCGCTTTGTATGCTTGTATTTCAAAGTTCTGACTGGTAGGTGATGGTCCATGATGAACTTTTCGGACAGATAATGCCCGAAATTTAGAAGTCACGAAATTCGGGTCTTTTTTCCTTTTTTTTTTTCTTTTTTTTCTTTTTTTTTTGGCACTGCTGTGAGGGTCCAAAGAAGTTTTTTTCTCATTTTATATCATAAAGCGTATATTAATTCCCAAGTTCCTGTATTTTGTCTACTGTGAATACGTTGTTGAGTTGTGTGTAAAGTATCATCTCACCTGATTTAATAAAAAGATGTGCTCTGTATTAAAGCAGCTGAGTTGGTTCATCATTCTTGCTTGGCCTTTGTTTGTGACGTAAGAATTTCACTGGTGGTGCAGTACGTCGAACGAGTCTTCTACTAAATTGGAATCTGTTTTAAGTGGTTTAGCTGTGCTTACTGGTCGGTCTAGGGTGTGCATTGCCCGTGGTCCTTTGTCGTCGTTATTCTGCGATGCCAATGTACGCCTCGCTCGTTAAGCATTTCGCGTATGCTGAAGTTCAAATGGTAGGGTTTCTTTTGGCTTCTCAAATGTTTTTCTTTCTGGTCTGAACAGTCAGAGGGGTCTAAATGGTCGTAGAATATCTCTGTAAAGCTCCGGGATGTAATGTTTTTTTCGCTGAGTATAACCCGTATTAAGTTTGGAGTATTATTTCCTTTGTAGAGTTGGTCGTTTTAAAGACGGCGATGTTGTTGTCTGTCCTTGAATTTTCGTAGGGATGGGTTGAGTGGAGCATAAAGCAGTTCTACAGTACGGTTTTCTTGAGGAATCAGGACGTCAACATTCCACCACGTCTTCTAGCGTAGTTTTTTATAAGGTTATACAGGCTTTTGAGTGAGTTAAAAAAGATTGTGACGATTAACGAATCGGTTAGGAAGCAGAATTAAAAATCTGGAAATCGATAGGATGGGAATTCGCTTTTGGGAACTCGTTTGCAGCGACCCGTCGTTATTCTTAGCCCTATCGTCCGAGCAAACTGTGTGGAATAGTAGAAGTGTCACAGTTCGTAGTCGCTACGTGAAGAGAAGACGAAGAGGCTAGAAACCGTGAAAAGTACTACTCCAGCGTGTTTTGGGAAGCGTGTATTAACTAGGGGTAGCTTGCTGTTTGTACAAATTAAGCAGTCGTCTGCAAATGAAATTAATTTTGGAGATTGTTTCAAATGAGAGCGCGATCAAGGTTTTATGTGCCTTCTCCCTTGTGAAGTAAGCATGTTTTTGAACTAGTGAAAGTGCTATAAGCGGTATAGGATTCAAGGGCCTAGATCTAAAGACAAAATTAGAAAAGAGGATGGATGAATCCGATGACGAGACCAATGACTGCAGTTAATATATAGTATTTCTTTGGTACATTTCTCTACAGGAAATATTTCTTTTGTTGAGTTTTTCTGGAAAATATTTTCCGAAAAAAATCTCATTATTTTTAATCTCTAAGCCTAAAATTCAATACAAATTGCAAGTTTGTTCTACACTTATGTCAAAAATTACTGCCCTCGGATTAGATTAACTGATCTCAGACTATGCGACAGGAAGCAAAGAAGGAATTGATCTGCATTAATTTGCGTCGACGTCAAATTTCTTTTGCACTAACTTATGCTTTAAATGTTTTGAATAACAACGGTAATGGCTTTAACTTAGTAGAGTTATATTCTATCAACTTCGCAGGTTATTTGAATCACTTAGATAATGAAATTTTTTTTGTACCGCTTAAATGACAGGTATAATAAAAGCTGTTGTTGAAATGAAGAATATTAATTTTCAATTAACGATAATTTTGACTAATCTGCTAAAATATGGATTATTTTTGCATCTCAATTTCGAGCTTTGAGTATTAAATTATTAGGATATAATTTTTTAATGTTATAAACTGTGAAGCATTATTTTATAGTCTTCTCGACGGTTATTTTTGTCGCAGTTGCTTATACTCCTGGTCAGACTGAATTACAAGGTTGCGTTTATTATCTGTCTCATTTATTGATAAATAAATGACCAAACAGGCGTATAAAGACAAAATAACTCGTCAAAAGTAAAAATAAACTTTCGTTTCCATCTAACAGCAGAAAGAAGCCTTCTGGTTAATCAAAAGATACTGCTGGATAAGGTCACGCCTTGCTTCTTCGTGTCGTATCGCTTCAACATATGAACCTTGCAAACCAGGACAATTACCGTTTTTTGTTTGACGAGCTTTTGGACGGAAAAAAACAATTTTTGTTGTTTAACTTTGTTTAAACTTGATATAAAATTTCCTGTTCATAGAAGTTATTCAAAAGTTTTTACTTTTACTGTTTGTACTGAAAACTAACTTTTATTATCTCTGTTTTAAGCACGTGTTTAATTCGGTACATGTACAAAGCTGAGTATATCCTATCGATTATGCAAGTTAAAAGCATCTCAGGTATTGCGTCTTCGAAGAGTCAATGAAGTGAAAGTTGTTTTGAAGTGTTGGTTTTGCGAAAAGCATGCAATTTTTAACGTATTTCAGTTCGTCATTGACCATTCAAAAATAGTGTAATCGTTACAGAAATGCCACACTAACTCACAACATCAAATTTGCCCAATCAGCTTGCAAGCGAACTACATCTGTAGTATTAATTAAACAGTACTGATGCACTATTTCGTCATTGTCGTTGGTGGCGTAAGCAGATGTAAGGCTTGAGACAATTAAGGTAATAAAGATAGCAGTAATCACTGTTGCCGGAGGTTTTCCAGTCGAGCTTCCTCAGCAACTACT